TACAACTAAATCTTCTACTTTAAATCTCCTGCATTAAAGAAATAAATGCACGGATGACGGATTAGTTATCTATTTCTGTCATATCTATACTCTTGGTGAACATTCATGCATTTCAACATCAATGTCATTCTAAAAGTTAAAGGATTGTTACCTCCCTTACACAAGTGGAAGCTCAAAAAGACTTAAGGACATGTTAAAAAGTAACTTTCATTGGGACTTGGAAGTACTTGGAAATAAATTCCCAAAGTGATTCACCCAAGAGTGCACATGGGAGGAAGTGACAGAGATGGGAAGTACTGGCTTAGAAACCCTTATTTGGACTCTCTAAAACTACTTAACGTTACTGGCAGTAGGTCTAGGAGCTAGTACCATGATCTTAAATGCACCATTCTTTAAAATTTAATTCAAATTTGACACAGCAGACTGAGACAAGACTTGTATTCCAGTGTAGATTCAGTTGAAGAAAAGCAGTGTGTATTCCTTTGTGCTGGGATGAAAGAATGCTCCTCCCACGTGGCATTTTAAAGTTTGTTATTTCAACTCCATAGGCAAACACTTGTGCCTACATCAAATGGGAGTAAGAATATATGTGACCAGTGGTGCTCTCTGATCCATTTTGTAGCACCACAGCAGTGTGAAGAATCAGGGTGAGATGTGTGCTTATTTCTCAAGGATACCTGATATGACTTCTAGTGATTTGAAGGCCATACCTCTACAGCGATTGGTTTATTTCCAGGTTTACAGATCCTTTAAAGGCTCTGTAGTGACCTCTGTGAAGATGGCAGCTCCTGTGAAATTACGGGAGTCTTCCAGCTCTCAGCTTAACTGGCCACAGCCTAATTTTGAACAACCAGCCCAGAAAGATGCAGGATAAAGCAAGCAACCAGAACTCAAATACAAGCTGCTTTCAGTTGTTAAAGAACTGAAGGTCCCTCAAGAAATGGGTAATAAGCTATACATGATGGGAGCACATAGGTTTGTGTACAGGAGAACAGGGGGAAAAATACTGAGGATGGGATGGAAAGCAGGAGATGCTTCAGGTGCAGGATTTAGCCATAATATGGCCTAATCAGGTGGCTCTTCTCTAACATTTGGCTGGTTGTTCTAGTAACCCTAGTTCAGGTGTCCGTACCAGCAAATCCACTATCATATCTGGCACCTCAGCAAAGAAGAACATGAAAACAGAAATTACGGAGTCCACTTTCCCTTTTGGTCTTTCAAGCGAGAGGCTTTTAGTTTAAATGAGGGGGATGAAAGAGGGAAGCTTGCATTAATCAGGGGATTTGAGTACATAAGAAAAAAAAGTGGGTATTACTACCATCAGGTTTGTCCCCCAAAAGATCTTGCCTGGTAATGCCTTAGGGCAAACACAAATGAGTAACTCGCACGTTTTTATAGAATAGAAAGTAGAAAGCAATTTGGCTTGCCACATACCTAAGGTATGCAGGTGTAGGCATAACTCGGTTATTTCTGTGTTGAATTTTTAACTATTAGTTGAATCAGACTATGTCTATTCGAGTTGGATTTTAAGTCTCCTAAGCCTGTCCTTTGCAAAAGGTCAAATTTAATGGTCATAATGTTCTCTTGCGATTTTAAAACTTGAAGATTGCTGTTCTTTCTTTGATAATAGAAAATGGTATCAATGCCTTAGAAAACATAAAGCCAATGTATTTCTACCCTTCTTGTAGTAGCGAGCACAATGAAAGCCTTGATCTTGGTTGTTGTACAGTTTGGATTCAGTTCAGGTTGTGATATATGTGAGCGTATTTAAATTGCTACTTCAGGAGGAATAGTTAAGCCAATTGGCAGTTAGTTTGTGTCTCCCCAAAACCTCTTCTGGCTCTTTCTGGTTTTCCTGCCCATGTTCCTCTCTACCCAGAATAATTCTGTTCCTCAGAATCCCTGCAACTGTAAATTATATTCTGAAAGCTGAGGATAAAAGATTCATCATCCTTGAGGTGGTAAAACCTAATTTTTGATTACACTATTGTGTGTTTTCATACTACTCTGCTTATTCTTAGCTCCAAAGTACAGGTACTAAAGAATTAAGTCTCCTATTTGCAGACAATAGCAAATTACTTTTTTAATTTTTTTTTTTTTTACCTGCAGTGGTTGATAGACTTGGAGAAAAAAATGGAGACTCATGACCAGGAAGGGCTTGGACATACGGAAGAACACAAGTTGTCATCAGGAGATCTAAGAGAAGACGTACTCCAAAACGGTGACCTAAGTTGTCAGAAGGGTGAAATGTCTCAAAATACCAGTTTGAAAATACCCTCTGAGGACAGACAGACAGGGATGTCTGGGAAGAGAAACTGTAATGTGAGTGAATACCAGGACATTGTGGTCTCAGGAAGAACTTCACCAGGACAGGGTCCTTATGAGTGCACTGTGTGCAATAAAAGTTTCAGTGGCAGCTCAAACTGTCTCCAGCACCAGCGTATCCACACAACAAAGAAGGCTTCCAAGTGCATGCAGTGTGGGAAGAGCTTCAGCCGCATCTCATCTCTGACCCGGCACCAGGCAGTACACCGTGGGGAGCGCATATTTGAGTGTGCAAATTGTGGTGACCGTTTCACACGCAGCTCCAGTCTCACTCTCCGCTGGAGGACTCACGAAGGGGAGAAGCCCTTTGTGTGCACACAGTGTAGTCGGCATTTTAGTAGTGCTTCTGAGCTGGTGGCTCACCTGGGATTACACACGTGAATTCATTGTGGTCCTTTGTGCCTCAGCAAACTGGAACCATAGGCATAAGGAAGAAGCAATCCCTCTGTAGGACCACGTTGCCTCTAAAAATTTTTTTCATCTGGTGTACCTTAAAGGTATGTGCAGGTAATACCGAAGAGTGGCAAAGCAAAAAAAAAAAAAAAAAGCAGCCCCTAATCCAGAGAGCCTGGCTGGAATGTCAAGTAATTGCTAAGAGTCCAGTGGCTGGGGAATGAATCCCCTCTCTTCTAATGCATAAGCCTCTGTTGGGATGGAAATAGAAGTTAGTATTTATTTAAAAGATAGAAATAGGACAGGTTACTGGCTAAGATGAGAGCTAGGAACTTCAATGATACAGTTTTGGTTCTGAGTTCAGGTACAGGATGACCTTGTGCTAATTACTTTGTCTCTCTGTCTTTATGACTCATAGTTTAAAAAATAAATGTCTTTTTTAACTTAACTTTCTCAGTGTAGAGTGTGGACTAATGTGTGCCCAGATACTACAGTCATTAGAGACAGATGAGTTAGTAGCTTAAAGAACAACTTGTTCTGAAAGCATAAATGTCGCTGTCCTTTGCCTTTTTAAAGGAAGATTTTCTAAAACTCTGGGCTTCAGAAGTTCTTTCATCTTTTCATGGAATTTGGGTTCCTAACTTCCAAAGGCACTTCTGAATATTAGCCTTTTGTAATCATCCAAGATTTCTGAAGGGATCAGTGCTGAAATGATCTATTCTTTCCTGCCCAGTGCTTAACAGATCTGCATAACTCCTTGGCATCATCAGAAGGATTGGCTCCTCAAGTTAGGAGTCTTCAACTAGAAGTCTTTGTTTCCTAGCTTGCTTAAATAATACCTAGTTGAAGGAAAAGGAATTACTTGAAAATTGGACTTAAATCTAGAGATGCGAGAGTAGTGTCTCTGCTATTATGGTACACATCAGGATAGTCAGAAGAGAACTTTAATTTTACTGTACAATTACACATTTAATGGAAAACTGGGCAGTTACTAAGAACTGAGGTGATTGTCCCATCCTCCCTGTCCCCTCTTGACTTTCACCAACTGAGTAGTTTCTCCACTGAAATTAGACCCCATCTTATGGGACCACAGAGATCAGGGTATTGATTTAAATATTTTCATTTATTGAAATGTCTTTTTTTTTGTTTTGTTTTCACTGAGACTAAAGGATGAAGAGAGAGACCCTAGGGTACCAAAGCATGCTAGAGAAGTTGCCGTTTAATATTACACTCTGTTCTTGATGTGAGTCCTCCTTCCTTTAGGGCCTTGTTGGCTTTTTTGTGGCCACAATTAGTAGTATTAATGCCAGAAGACTATTTTTGTATATTAAGAAACACACAATATCTTGCAGTTGTATTTGTTTTTACCTCCTTTCACAGAGCTTGCCACCCAAAGTATCTGGAACAAGGATCTGAATCAGGAGATCCTGGTATTTTTAAAAACTGATTTCTAAGACATAACACGATCTCTGACTCGCCAGTCACTTCATGCATGTTTTTAGAAGCCTGAGCTCACTTAACCTTCTAGTGCCTATCTGTCTCCCTGTTTTTTGTAATGGACCCCCAGGAATCCTTTAATCTCATTAGTATTCTCTGCTCTCCCAAGTCCACTTACAAAAATGAGAGACAAAAACTACAAGTTGGGCACCTCCTATTGTTTCTTTTCCGTGTTTAAATCCTTCCCCCCCCCGCCCCCCAGTCTTCCCCACATGTAACTGATTGTCAGATGTAAAATTGGGTAGCAGTTAACAGAATATTGTTGGAGTAGACAAGGGCATGCAGGTCTCTGTAGCTGTTTTAGAAAATGGGTAGTTAAGCTGATACTATTTTCAGAAAGTTTAGATATCCCAGATTCCCAGTCATAGGATGGCAAATCTGACATAGTCCAGGACTCCCTTTTTGTTCTTGAAACTGTTCTCTTTGATTTCTTAGTGCTCAGTTAAGCTTAAGTAGCAGCACAGTGGCAGAGAGAAATTGCGGTTGATTTGGACCAGTGAGAGGGCATCTTTAAAAGTCTGAAGTCCTATATTCAGACTCCCAAAGGAGAATGCAGCATCAAAGTTTGAGCATATTGCTCTGGATGTGAACTTGCTGTGTGTTGAACCAGAATTAATATTTTCCTAGAACTAGACAAATTCCAGGTGTGGAAGCAGTAGTAATACAAAGACTTTTCCTGCCAATATCTGTGGAATACTAGCTCTTTCTCTTACTCTAAACAATGGACTTGTGCAACAGTTACTTCATTACTAATTTAGTTCAATTAATTCCAATATAGATGGTTGACATTGTCAGTTAACTTAGGCTGTGTAGAGGGTTTGAGGAGTGCTCAATATTTCATTATAAAGACCAATTAGGGAAAAAAAAATCCTACTGATGGTAGATGCTAAACCTTAGAAAATACCAATTTTAAACTAATATCTCATAAGCCTGTTTATTTGATAGGTTTCTATACAAATTCATTTAGTGCTCAAGAACTAAGGTTATCTGACTTCAGAGTTGTATTTTTTCATAAATCAAAGCCACACTGAGGATGAGGGATGGGGGAAAAGGGAGACTTCACTCACTGTGCATGAATCCACTCATGCTTGAGATAGAGGTTAGCCATCAACTACTATCTGTTCTCTTCTCAGCTGGATGACCTGCTGTCTGAGGTGATTTAAAGAGGTTTTTTTTTTTAAAGGAAGTTACAGAAGTGTCTGAACTCATATTCTTACTGGTGTGGATGATGTTATTTGTCTTTGGTCACTCAGATAATCTTGTGTTCAGAAAGAAAAGAACAAAAGAATTGTCATTTTTACCACCCAGATAATTTTCTGGATATTTCCCTTCTTACAGTGTCCTGTCAGTTGCTGGGATAAGGCCAAAACTGTTGTCCGCTGCTCAGAAGAAGGCACCTAAAACTTGAAGGCAAATACTGAGGGAGAGAAAAACTAATTTTGGAGTGGAAGTTACCTAAATATACTATTAAGTGTGGAGATAACTGTACTCTAAGGTCAAGAATGGTTCTCCTTTATCTGTTTGTGCAAAGTCCTGCATAGTGCAACCATGCTTTATGGACTCCAGAGCAGAGAGTGAGAAGCGTGAGTAGGTGTGGAGCTCTGGACATTTCTGAGTGGTGTCACGGAGGGTAAAGAGACACAGTGCCTCTCTCCTCCTCAGCTGTAGTCCCAAGTAAGTGTCGTGTAGCACACCCAGTGCCTTCCACCAAAATGCCCATCTCTGAACTTCAGAAGCTTCATTACTCCTAGAATCCTCCCAGTTGGGCAGTCTACCTCTCCTAGCAGTCTTTCCTTCTAAACCTTAGTTTAGCATTGTGTGTTACAGAGAGCATGTGTAGGGCACAACACAAGGGAGAATTAGATGTAGCGGGGAAACAGAAATAATTCTAAATTTCACCAGTATTTGAAGAATGTTCAGCTTCTAATGCTTAACAAAAAGGCAAGGGCAAACTGAATAGTCGCTAATACAGTTAAGCAAACATCAGCTCTTACTGTATAGAAAGTATTTTTGGTATTTTTGGATGTTAGTATATGTGTGAGCAACTTTTTCTAAGTGTAATTTTTTTACTTGAAAAAAATTTTTTTTTAATAAAAATGAGACTAAAAAGTCCATTTCATGGAAGTGTATTGACTTAAGTTTAAATTCCTGGTAGACAATGCATACTTTTGACACAAATAAATGGAAGCAATGTTTTGTCACCCTTTTGAAGTTGGCCTGTATAAGGATGGGCTTTCACAAACACAAATGTTCCATTTTTAGTGTAGATAAACCATGCATGAATTCAGGCTCTAAAATCTAACATGGCTCTAAATCCCAGTATTTTTCCCCCCGCTAAACCCATGTGGAAGGTGTTGGAACCATTCTAATTTCCACTTAGTCTCAGACAAATCCCCTTCTCCCCAGTAAATCTAGTCTTTGGAAAAACTCTCAGCATCTGAAAAAGCATTTTACGCAAGTGTTGGATAAATATGGAAGAGCTACTATCTGTTCTGCCTTTAACCATGTAAGCAGCAAACAAAGCAAAGGTTAGTTTATAATACAAGGAAAAAAGTGCCTGCACATGTGAAAGGACTTTGATCTTTCTATGCAGCTCTTCAATGGGTTAAAATTCTTTCAAAGTATATTTTCTGATTACTTGTCTCTTTTTTTACTTTAATTTACAGCTACCGCTTTCACATGTGTACATTTTAATGATTTGCTCTTCAAAATGATACCAAATTTGCTTGTTCCACAAAAAGAATCAATGAGGTAGTCTTGTTCAATCAGCCTTGTTTCTCGAATTACTTCCTTATCTATGAAAATGCAGTTACCACTTTTGATTAGTCTTAAATAATTAAATAATTGCAAAAGCACTTAATTCATTAAATTAAATAGCTTTAGCTCATACTGCCTTTTGATGTATGATCTTAACTCCTATTAACACAGCTTTTGCTTCAAATATTGAGAGCAAATACCCCTTTTTTATTTCTGTATTATGGACTAGATGCTAAAACGGTATAAAGCTTTTAGGTTATTAAAGGAGATTTTGCAATCAGCACATTTTTAGCTTTTTAAATCAAATGTATACTGACTTAAATATACTTGGGTATTAAAACTGAACTTTTCAATAAAATCATTATAATTGTCTTTTTGTTCCATTACATTGTTGGGGAGAAGATGTGAGCTGGGACTGTCCCCTTCATGAAGTGTTTGCAAGTTCCCTGTCTGGTAGGAGTACGTGAGTCTGACGTCTCTGGCACTGAAGTAGGATGTTAATGGGTGCTCCCTGCTAACCGCCCTGTTGCTTGGCAGGTCCTTGCCTTTCTCTCCCTGTTCGTAGCTTCTGCAACTGAATACAAACTGAGAAGTCAGAAGTTTTTTCTTTACAGATAAATTATTGCTGATAAGCTTATTAGTTTTCATATGCCCACCTATATTTCTTAGTATGGTCTTAGTTTTAGAATATTGATGATTGCAGTTTTTTTTTATTAAAGTTATTAGTCTTGTTTGATTTGAAGGAGTGAATTCAAACAAAACACTGAGTTTCCTTCTGGTTTATGTTTTGGAAAAAGAAAAGGGAAAAGGGGTGAAATAACGGTGGGGAAAACAAAGAGTAAAATTGGGACTCCAGTAAGA